GATTCACCAGAGACAGTGGGGAGCAGAACAGGCAGACTGACTGAAACACAGTGCTGAGGGGAGCAGCAGGAGAGATAGGAGAGGCCTGCCTTGCCATGTGGGTAGCTCCCTGGCTGGCCAGGGATGGAACTTGTGCTGCAGAGGCTGCGGACTACTTTATAGTGAAGTACTTAACCCCTTGTGCCACTAGAGAGGCCCAAAAAAAGTGTATTTTCTCATAAAGGCAATAGACACCATCTATGCCATAAAAGCTAAGATCCTATCTCTTGTTTTCTAAATTACCCACAATGGTTCCATTACCTATTAACCAACCATTATTAGTCCTATTTTTTTCAGTCTATAACATTTAAGATTTACCCTAAGAGAACTTTTGCTCACTGTATAACATAGTCATTCAGTTTGCCATAAAGCTGCCCCCTTTCAAAACTCAAGACAACTTTCTTACTTAAGTATTCTGAGTGTAGAAAAACTAATTCAACTCATCAATCAGTTCAGTAAAGTGGCAGGATACAAAATCAACACACAAAAGTCAGTAGCCTTCCTATACACAAACAATAAATATGAAGAAGAAGAAATCAAAAAAACCATCCCTTTTTATATTGAAACAAAAAAAATCAAATATTTGGGAATAAATCTAACAAAAGAGGTAAAGGACCTATACAAAGAAAACTATAAAACACCGTTAAAAGAAATAGAAGAAGACACAAAGAAATGGAAAGACATCCCCTGCTCATGGATTGGAAGAATAAACATTATTAAAATGGCCATCCTTCCAAAAGCAATATACAGATTCAATGCTATTCCAATCAAAATTTCAATGTCATTCTTCAAAGAAATAGAATAATTATTGATGAAATTCATATGGAATCACAAAAAACCCCGAATAGCCAAAGCTCTCCTGAAAAAAAAAAGAGAAGGGAATGGAGGCATCACACTCCCAGACTTCAAACTCTACTACAAAGCCATAATCATCAAAACTGCATGGTATTGGGCCTCCCCGGTGGCGAAGCGGTTGAGCGCTGGGTTGCGAAGCTGCCGGCGGCCTCTGCAGCGCTGGTTCGATCCCCGGCTGCTCCCCGGCCACCAGAGGAGGGTCCCGCATGGCGCGCAGACCTCTCCTGCCGCCCGCTGCTCCCCTCAGCAGTGTACTTCAGTCCTTCTGCCTGCTCTGCTCCCCGCTCTGGCTCTGGTGAATTCTCTCACCCTCCCGCGTTTCTGACTGTACCCAGTGCATGTATAAACAAAACAAACAAACAAATAAAATAAATAAATAAAACATGCCTCTATTAAAAAAAAAACAAAAAACTGCATGGTATTGGAACAAGAACAGACATACAGACCAATGGAATCGAAAAGAAAATCCAGAAATAAACCCACAGATTTATGGTCAACTAATCTTTGACAAAGGAGCAAAGACTATGCATTGGAGCAAAGAAAGTTTGTTCAAATAAATGGTGCTGGGAAAACTGGGTCGCTACATGCAAAAGAATGAAGCTGGACCACTACCTCACACCATACACAAAAATCAACTCAAAATGGATTAAAGAACTAGACATAAGACCTGAAACCATAAAATATATAGAAGGAAATATAGGCGAAACACTACGTGATTTGCACATCAAAGACATCTTTACAGAACATCACCCAAAGCAGTGATAGTGAACGCAAAGATAAACAGCTGGGACTACATCAAATTAAAGAGCTTCTGCACAGCAAAAGAGACAATAACAAAAACAAAGAGAAACCCCACCAACTGGGGAGAACATTTTTGCACCCAACACTAATGATAACAGGACTGATCACAAAATCTGCAAAGAGCTGATGAGACTCAACAACAACAAAGAAAATAATCCAGTCAAAAAATGGCAGAAGAGCTAAAAGAAACTTCTCTGAAGAGGAAATGCAAATGGCTAACAGGCATATGAAAAAATGTTCAACATCACTTGTCATCAGGGAAATGCAAATCAAAACTACCATGATACCATCTTACACCAGTGAGAATGGCACATATTAAAAAAACTAGCAACAACAAATGTTGGCGAGGGTGTGGAGAAAAAGGAACTCTTCTGCACTGTTGGTGGGAGTGCAAACTGGTCCAACCACTGTGGAGAGCTGTGTGGAGATTTCTGGACCTACTAAACATAGAGCTTTCATAAGATCCAGCAATTCCACTCCTAGGTATTTACCCAAAGGATACAGAAACATCAATTCCAAAGAACACCTGCACCCCTAGTTTTATAGCAGCACTGTTTACAATAGCTAAGCTTTGGAAAACAACCCAAATGCCAAAAATAGATGACTGGATCAAGAAGATTGTGGTCCATATATACCATGGAATATCACTCAGCATTCAAAAAAAGATAAACACATGCAATTTGCCAGCAACATGGATGGCGCTGGAAGGGATCATGCTCAGCGAAATAAGCCAAAAAGAAAAAGAAAAATACCGAAGGGTCTCACTCATAGCAGGAATCTGAGAAACTTAAATAAGGGACCAGGAAAATGAATAACTATAAGATAGTGAAAATCAAAATCAACAAAAAACTATGACCCGAGACACTTTTAGGGGGGCGGGCGTGGAGGGGAGGGATGGGGTCAGAATGGGGGGGCTGCAATCGTATGGGGAATATAAAAATAAAATTTATTATTTAAAAAAAAAAAAACA